TACTGAGAAAGACTCTTGGACAGCCGTCCATGTTGCATTCTGGTTCCTGCCTAACCCAAGCAAAAGGCAAAGGATGAAGGGAATGAAAGCAGTTGTCCAGACCATAAAACCTGAGCTGTGATTCTTTGTGGAAGAAGCACCATCGCTTGGAAATTTAGATCTTTTTGCTTGTCAGTCCTGTTGTATAGGTGTTAGAAAACAATAGAAGTACATATTTGTGTGTAACTAAGCAACACATACTTTGGCTTTCTATTTGCATTTAAAATGACATATCTTCCGTAATCTTGAGAAGATTATTGACTGGGCTTTGATGTTCTGAATGATGTTTCTTGTTTCCCTTTGTCTACAGAGTTGGCAATGATGACAGCCTAATACATACTTGGAAATTCCTCTCGCAGTCTACAGACTCTTTACATAAAATCAGCCGGGTGAATGAATCGATGGAGTCGCTAATCGATGAGGGTAAGAGATCCCCGTGGCACGTATAACAACAGCAAGGCCTCAGGGCTGCTTTCCAAAAATAGAAGGTCCTTTTTCATGATTCAGCATGAGTTTTTCTTTTAAAGGACAATTAAAGTGCAAAGGCTGCAATACAGGAATATTGGTGTGATAAACTAAAACAAGGCCACACACAGTAGTTTTTCCAGCTTGTTGAATTGTGGGAAAACATATGGAAGTTTCTGCACAAATGAACAAGCTTTCTTACATATGTATTTATGTAGGTATCATAGGTAGCATTCAGCTCCACTCACATTAATTCTACTTTTCTAATCTTGAAAATACAGGCTTCACACAGTTCTGAAGGAGCACATGGTGTGGTGATCATTGTGCCATTATATCCCAGATTAATGACTCACTAAAGATCCATTTTTATCTGAGTTAAAATTTGGTCTGTGTGAAAATTCTGAATTACTTTTGTGCAATGACCAAGTAAGCTCTAAAAGTGATTTTTGTAACGTAGTGCTTACTTGGTGCAACTCCATACAGCCATTACTCTGTTGAGAAAGGAGAACACGTGTGATACTGGTGACATAGCAAAAGAACTCCCAAACCTGTTGAAGAGGTGGGAATCTCAAATTGGACAAGTTGCCTGTAGCCTTTTAACACTTGTGCTGCTTTATGAAGGTGCAGACATGAACGAAGGACAGCTGATGGGAGACTTGGAACTAGATTCGAAGCAGCTGGAGGCAGAATCTTGGAGCCAAGTAGTGGACAGCAAGTTCCTACGACAGCAGAAGAAAGATGTTGTCAAAAGGCAAGACGTCATTTATGGTGAGACATACCTGCATTTTTTTCACTGATTTTAGTGACAACTTATGTACTTCTGTTTATTTGGGAAGTTTTATGCTAATGAGTAGGAATGTTTATTTTGATTTTTCAGAAACCGTAGTTTTGTTCCAGAAATTCTTAGAAAGCTAATTTTCTGTGAAGGCTGGTTCTGGTTTTTTATGCAGAAGCCATCAAAAAAGATAAATAAATAAATAAATGAAAGAATGAAAAAAATTACCTCTCCTCACTCATCTACCGCGGCCATTTATACTCTGTTACAGTAGAGCAGCTCACTAATTGTATTGGTGTCACCATCTTCCTGATGCAAGTGCCATCCTGTATTTCCACAGAAGTAAACTTTGTTGAGGCTGGAAGTGCAGTGTTGAGATAACAGTCAGAAATGGTGAGATCTTAGTAGCAATGTCAGAAACTTTTTGTTGCTGGGCTCCTCTGCCCCATATTTCTTCCAAAAGTAAAGCTATTGAATGATGTCTGAATATGTGACATTGTTAAATTTTTGGAAGCCCCTCTAGAGAAGCTTGCGTGGCAGAGCTTTCCAATGACAACTTTCCTTGTACCGTACCCCCAAGTCCTCTACAGTGAGCAGGTTTTTGACCTTTTCCTCCTCCTGTGCAGAGCTAATGCAGACAGAAATGCATCACGTCCGCACCCTGAAGATCATGAATGATGTGTACAGTGCAGGAATGATAAAGGAGCTGCAGTATGACCAACATGTAGTGGACAAGATCTTCCCCTGTCTGGAAAACTTGCTGCACATCCACAGTCACTTCTTCCAGCGGATTCTGGAAAGGAAGAGGGAGTCGTTGGCAGACAAAAGTGAGAAAAATTTTGTCATCAGGAGGATAGGTGACATCCTGGTGAATCAGGTGAGCTCTGGAAAATACTTGCATTTTCTGAGAGCGTAGCTGGAAACCAAGCGCTCTGGCTCCTTGCTCCTCCTTCCTTCCTTATGCTTATTTATACTTATTTTATGCTTATTAGATAATCACAGCTGAATGCGCCTTTGCTGCCTATGTATCTGCCTCTGCTTTTTAAGCACTTTGAGCTTTTTCAAAACAAGGTATAATGATGACAATTTGTTGTGTTTATATTGTGGGGTAGAGACATGTTCCATGATAGTGCAGAGCACTTCAGCCATAACCTGGAGGGTAGGCCAGTAGCCCACAGCTCCTGGCATAAGTCTTGTTTTTTGGCTGAGATATTGACCTGCTTTCTAACTTCGGGTATGTCTTTATACCTTTTCACACCTCTATTTTCTCCTTTCCTTCTTTTGTCCATCTTGACGTTTTGGGGAGGCTTTTAAGCTCTCCGAGGTGGAATGCTAGACTTTGTGTTAAGTCACTGTGAATATCATGAAGTCTCAAACTCAGTTCTATAAATTCTAGAGATGAATAGCTTAGTTTAACATGTTTGACACTAATCTGGTCTCATAAAGTTCTTTTGAGAAACTGACAGGCAGTGTTGGAATATCGTGCCAAGAGCTCAATAGATCTCTGTGTCTTATGTCTTGCAGTTCTCTTGTGAGAATGCAGAGCGAATGAAGAAAACGTATGGCAAGTTCTGCGGGCATCACAACGAGGCTGTAAATTACTTCAAAGATCTGTACTCAAAGGACAAGCGGTTTCAGGCATTCGTCAAGGTAGGCCCTGGTAAAAGACTCACAGATGATGCAAGAATTACATCCTGTCTGTACTCTGAGCGCTTCCCACACGAGAACTGAAATTTTCCTCTTCGATTCTCAGAAAAGAATGAGCAGTTCGGTGGTGAGACGCCTTGGGATTCCTGAATGTATCTTGTTGGTAACACAGAGAATCACAAAGTACCCGGTCTTGCTGCAACGGATACTGCAATACACCAAAGGTAAGACCAATTCCTCTTTCCTAAGCACATATTTGTTTATACGGTGTGAGTTTCCTGATCCTTTTCAACTGAAGCAGATTTTCTTAGAATTGTCATACTGTGTACTGTAATTAAATAACTGGGTTTCATGTCTCCTCTCAGGATTAGCTTTTTGGCTTCCTTGATTTAGCTGACAATCTATCCCTAAATAATTATAGAGCAATAGCCTGAGACTTGGAAATCTCTTGGCCTGTTTTTTTTTTTTTTTTTTGGCTAACGGCTGAAATATGTTATTTATGCATTTTGTGTATACTGGCTGTATGCAGAGTATATTGCAGTAGTCCCCAGCCACAACTATATATCTGAAAAGGGCTGTGAAAATCTCTTCAAGAAGCAAAAATGTAAATCTGTCTCATGAAAGTATTAAAAAGTTATAATACAGGGGTTTGGGATGGAGGAAAGGAAGGAAGGGAGTGGAAGTGGCGGGTTAGAATGCACACAAGGACCAAATGAAATTGAGATGTTTCTGTTTCTGTTCAAAGAAAATGAAGTGGAACATCAAGACTTGACTCAGTCATTAAACCTGGTTAAAGATGTGATTGCTGCAGTCAATAGCAAAGTCAGCAATTACGAAAAGAAAATGCGTCTCGATGAGATTTACACCCGGACGGATAGCAAGTCCATCATGAGGATGAAGAGTGGCCAGATGTTTGCAAAAGAGGATTTGCGGCATCGAAAGCTCATCCGAGACGGGCCTGTTTCACTGAAAAATGCAGCGGGACGGTTGAAAGGTAGGAATATCTTGCCTTGCAGTTATGCGGATAGGATTCCTCCTCAGACCTGTCATCTCCAACAGTTATTTATTCTTCTGCTTTGAGAGATTTTGACAGAAGCCTTCCACCTGCCTTATACTCAATTCCCACCCTAGCATTCCTGATACCTTGGGCTGTATAAGAGATGACAGCTGTTTTTCCACCCTCTGACTGGATGCTTGGTGAAGGCTCGCAGGACAATGGGATCTTCGTGTGCTATTCAGGGAACACAATAGATCACCAGTAGATCCTCTGGGCCATGAGATCACGGTGAGGCCACAGTTGCTCAGAGCATCAAGTCGTGGCTCTGCGCCTAAATGCACATGTGCAGTGGTGCTGGGAAGCACACGCTGAGGCTGAAACCAAACCTCAGGGTCTCACAAGCAGCCCTGCGTTTCCGTTGCTCTGAAGGTCTTCAGCAGCGCTGTCCCCAGGCTCTGTGTGACAGCCCCTCTGCCAGCAGCTACTGCAGAGCAGGTCCCAGGCACTTCAGACTTCCCGGGCTGCTGAGGCAAGCGGTCACTGTGCCCAAAGGGGAAGTGAGGAGGATGGGGAGCCCTGCAGCTTCCTCAAACTTGGTTTTATGTGTATTATTAGTTACTGGATCTCTTGAATTGCTTTTTGTTTGTTATATAGTGGAAACATTTTTTTTCTGAAGTGCTTTGCTCTACCAAATTAAGCACTAAATCTCTCAAGGAGACCTTAAGCTAGGATCATGGTAGTGCTAGGGGCAGGTGATGCTTTGTTTCAGACTTGTCAGAAAGATTAGTTTTTTCCTCTTACTCCTGGCATCGGTGGTTTAAACCATCATACTAGGGGATGAATGCAGTCTGGTAGCTGCTGGTGTTATGCTGTGCAATGAGTTCATTTTGCAGCTTTGATAAAAGTTTGAGGGTTCTTTTATCCAAGATGGTTTATGTCCTGCCAGAAGAGAATGGAAGGAATTGCCCATGAGATGATTATTTTGTTTTGTTTGCTTCATCTCTGTCACAAGATTTCCCAAGTATATTCCAAAGCCCTCTTTGTACTGAAGGATAAATGTGGGGCACTGCACTTGGTAGTTAACTGGGCAACCTTATGACCATGTAGCATGAGAAGACTTGGAAAGCTATATGTGTACTTTGGGAAAAGTGTGTAAGCTGATCTAAAATTTTCTATTTGGTCCATGTTGTACTTTCTTCTCCTGTGAAAGAAAGCCAGGTCATGCATCTCATGCAGACCCTTTTAGCTCCCCTTGGATTTAGCATGAGTCGTGTTTGTCTGAGAGCAGAACTAGTGGTGGTTCCTTAAGTCAGTAGTTCCTGGGAAAGAAATTACAGCTGACAAATACTGCTATGGCATGATAATTTGTGCTCCGCAAACCACTCATCAAGAGAACCGTAAAACCCAAGACTTCCTGTGTAGATGGTTTGCTCAAGGACCAAAATAATGGTTGTTTGAGAAAACAGTGCTTATATTCAGTGTCTTTAGCTTTTGCTTTTCTGTCAGATAGCTTGTGTCTGGAGAGGAGTATAGCAGCTTAGACAGACGGAGGAGTCCTGCAGGTTTCCCAAGTGCAGTTCCCCATAGCACAAAGATGTTGCTTCAGAGCTGATCAGACTGTTTTTCCACAAGCTGGTCCTATTGCTGCTGCAGGAGCTACTGCTTCTGCCAGACAGCAGGCTAAGCAGCACGGAAGACTCATCCCATTTCTGGGATTTGCAAAAGCAGCCCTAGTGCTCCCCAATAGCTAGGACATTGGTGTTACAAAAACACTGAGCTGGTTATACTACCTGCTCTTCTTTTTCTTTGGCAGAAGTCCAGGCTGTTCTCCTCTCTGATATGCTCGTGTTCCTTCAGGAGAAGGACCAGAAGTATGTCTTTGCCTCACTGGTAAGGCTTCAGCATATTCTTTTCCTTCCTTTTCTATTGGAGAGATCCTTGGTATGTGTCCTGCAGTGAAGCCAATTATTGCCTGCTAAACAACTTAGTCTTCTTGGCATTTAGGTTTATGTTACGTGTAACATTTGTGTTTCCTGAGCAGACTCCATTCTTGTCTATTGGAAAACACGTCTTCATTCCCTACCTCCCCTCAGTGATTTCTGCAGTGCCTTGGCACAGTTGATAATTGGCCTGAAAATATGCCTGTCACTTGATACACTTACTCCTTTTCAATCTGTGCAAATTGAAGCAGTGTTTGGGAGTGAGGTAATGGGATAATGTGAACATTGTAAAAACGAATCTTAGCAGAAGAAAATGCCCTAATACCTTGTGAGGTGCTAAGGGGGAAAAGGAAGAGGCTACCACTGCAGCAAATTCATCAGAACAGCTTACAAATGCATGTCAGCGGTCATGTTTCAGTCATGAAACCAAAAGCATTAGCTTTGAAGGCATGCTGGACACACTGACCTGCTGGGGACAATGTAGCACCTAATTGGGTCCGTTGGGGTTGTATCTTGCAGGATGGTTTAGCCTTTTTGTTCTTTGTGTTCTTTGCACCCTTTGAACAACGTTTTCAAAGCAGCAGTCTGTTGTTCCAGCTTCCTCCATGACCTGCAGAAACACAGTGCTCTTCACAGGGGAAGCTTTCACCTAAGCAGCTTGATTACCCAGGGACATAGCACAGTGTGGATAGTCTGCCCTCAAAATCTTGTCCATCGTGCTAGTCAGTTATGAGCTTCTGAGCACAGCAGAGCTTTTGTGGGATTTGAAATTAAGATGTCATTCCCTCTTAGGGAGCGTTTGCCAAGATAATGTCTGTGAAGCAGACATTAGCAGGCCTTGCTAAGTATCAGGAGTTGTGATATTAAAGATAGAGTACAGAGTGTGGGCAGCAGGAGATGAGATAAAAGGTCTGCTGGAGACAGAGCACCACACAGCTGATTTTTAGTTAATTTATTGTTGGGAGGAGGGAAGGTGAAGTGATATTTTCTACAGGACTGATAAAAGAAGACAACCTGCCTGTCCTTAAAATGCCGAATATTTAATTAGCCAATAGCTTAAAAAAAAATGCTTACAATCTGAGAGAGGTAACTGTGTTGGTATTTGGACCTTTTGATTGTTAGTTTATATCCAAAAACTCTGGTACTTCTTTGTCCTCCTCACCCATCTTTCCATCTGAAGGACCAGAAATCCACTGTGATCTCCCTGAAGAAGCTGATTGTCCGAGAAGTGGCTCATGAAGAAAAGGGTTTGTTCCTGATCAGCGTGGGTGCCAAAGATCCCGAGATGGTGGAAGTCCATGCCAGCTCCAAAGAAGAGCGTAGCAGCTGGATACAGATCATTCAGGACACAATTAACACCATGTAAGATGCCAGGCTGTTCTTGTGGGACAGCTGTTGCACATGGCCATATTATGGTAGTAACGGAGACATGTCTCTCTTGTCCAGGGATAAGGATGAAGATGAAGGAGTCCCGAGTGAGTCTGAGTTGGAAAAGAGAGTGTCGGACACGAAAGTGAGAGAATTGAAAGGTAAACACCTCCCTGGGACAGAACAGAGCTGGGGGGTGTTTTGGGGATTGAGGAAAATCATGCATCCAGCAAATAACTGCAATCCTTGTTTGCCTCCTCTGTGTTTGCATCTTTTTTTTCTGAGTTTACTGTGCGCGCTTGCTGCGTGGTATGTTTCAGGATTATGTCATCATGTTCCACTAGATGGGGCCAGTAACCCAAGAATTGCGTTGTTGCTTTGCCAGAGCTTTTTTTTTTTTTTTTTTTCCTCCTGCCTTCATCTCTTTTTCTTTTTTCTTTCTTTTTTTTTTCCCTGTTCACCCTCTCACTGCCACAGAACAACTTCACCAGAAGGACAAGCAAATCCTCATCTTGCTAGAGGAAAAGGAGAAGATCTTCAGGGACATGGCAGAGTGCTCTGTGCAAGAGGACCTGCCGGGCTCCAGAGTGCTCTTCAGAGCTAACACAGAGGAGGCACCAAAAGGAGAGGCCATTATGAAAAGTGCAATAAATGAAGGTGGGCAAGCTAGGGACACATGTTTGTTCCATTGACTCACACATCCAACTCACAGTGAATCTGTCAGTTCTCAAGCATATTTTTTTCAGGGAGTCATCTCCTTCTCAATGAATGAGCAACAGCACAGAGCATAGCTAGAAATTGCTGCTCACACTTGTTAGTGTTGTGGCTAGGACAGGGAATGAGGATCAGGAAAAGAAGCAGATACTGATGGCCATTAGATGGAGCCCAGAAAAGAAGTCCTAGCACAGAGAGCATCCATGCACAGAATGGAAGCTGAGGTCAAAGGCAGCTCAGAATTTCATCCTCGTCTGAAGTATGGGCCTCCCTGTCCTTTGCTCCAGTCTCAACAGGGTAGCACAGTGTGAAAGGTGGGCTCTCATTCTGAAGGCATTTGTGGTGCTGCAGGGGATGAGCAAAACTTGGGCAACTTTCCAGTGTGATTTCTGGAGAGCAAAAATTTTTCAGTGCTATAGTGAGAGTACACTAGGATTACCTGGAGAAAGGGAGGGAGGTGTAAGCCGCTGCACAACTCCTGGTGTTGGAATTTAAACCCAAACAGACTGAGTTTTTACAAGAGGAAACATGCACTGTTGCTATCATTGTCATAGAACTAGTAATTTATTATTCAGAAAACTGTGAATTTCTGGCCTGAGGTCAGCTGGAAAGAAAATGGCTCAGGAAGCCTGAGATGATCTTTAAGAGCGATATTGTTGCTTTTTATCCTACCAGTTGAACTGCTGCAAGGCCTGGTGAGCAGGAGCCTGGGCTGTGTCCTTGGGCAGCAGGTCAACAGTGCCGCCATGGAACAAGAAGGAGGTGTTGGCCCCATCTCTCTCCCTAGACGGGCAGAAACTTTTGGAGGATTTGACAGTCATCAGATGAACGCCTCCAAGGGTGAGTACTTAAGTGTGTGCGTATTGGTTTGTGTAAATAATGCATAATGTCAGGGTGGCGTCTTGCTTTGGAAAGGCTCCAGCAGCTGGTGAATTGTGATGTCCCAGCTCCTCTGCCATAATGGCAGACAGAGCTTCCTAATGCTCTCTTTCTTTGCTACCCTCATCAGAAGTAACCTTGTTCCCAAATTCTTTGCTCTTGCTCTCACTTACGCTCCCAGTGCTGTCAGTTTTGCTGGGCTAGTGTCTGTGTCTCAGCTTTGGGATCGCTGGGCCCATCTGACCTCCCGTCTTGAAGGAGTGGCGTTAGCTCCAGACAGTCAGGCATGAGAAATATGTAGAGATTTCCTCAGCCGTTGGAAAGCCACAACGCTCCCAACGGGCCTTGTCATGGTAATGACAAATATATTCACACAGAGAGCTGGAGGGCTTGGCTGGGGCTCTGCCTCTCTCTTGCAGTGATGAATAGGGGACAGCCTCAGGCTGTTCATAGCCTAGCGCACCCCCTACACTGTAGAAATAGTCTCTTTTGAATTAGACTGTAATTCAGTGGTAAAAGAGTCTTGGGAGACTTCAGAAGTCTAGTGTCTTTCTAGAGAGACACATTTCTAATGACTGAGGCTGGGGAGAAATTGTTAGCAAGAAGCTGCATGGCAGTATTTGACACAGTATCTGAAGCAGCTGTAAACCGCATTTAGACAAGAGAGTACTGAAACTGTACCTGCAATAATGTACCCTGATATGATGCTCTTATTGCTCTCCATCTGCTCTTAATCAGCCTCATGTCCTCTCAGCTTATATTCTTCTGGAGTATAAACTGGCTTGGGAGATAGGCAGAGCTAATAAGAGTGTGCTGAAATACATCAGCACGTTGTTTGAAACCAAAGTCAATCCTAATCTGAATTCACATCTACCTTTCTCCCGTTACTGACGTGCTCTGTATTACAGAGAGCAAATGCGCTTAGTTCAAGTGTCAAGAGATCTGTGGACCTTTTGTAAAACATCTCAGTTTCCTGTATTAAATTTCTCAGACAACAGCAAGTTCATCTATGGTTTAAAATGTTAAATAATCATTGCCAATCCTGGCTCTTTCCTTTAGGTGGAGATAAGGAGGAAGGTGATGATGCCCAGGATCTTCGGAGAACAGAATCGGACAGCATTTTAAAGAAGGTATTTCTCTACAATTAGATGTACCACAACAAGTTAAAAATGAAATAAAATTGTGTGTAGTTAAAACCACTTTGCTGTAGCTAAAATCCCCTTGAAAACCATGTCAAAAGAGTAATATTCCTTTGTGGCACAGGTTATCTGCCATCTGTCTGCAGACCAACTAAAACATGTGTTTAATTATGCATCATTATTGAAATGTCAAGGTCAAATATAACCTTGCATCCGTTCTTGCTGTGGATCAATTTATCATATCAGTACAAAATAATCCCAAATTAACATTTGATTTTATATGATTTTTTACTTGCTTAAAAAGCATACATGAATTCTCCTAGAATGGAAAATAGGAAGATCTCTCATTAGTGCTTCAGAACAGATTTGCTGTGATATCTTCTTTGTGCTCTTATTGAAACTGTGATCTTTTCATAGGGTGGAAATGCTAATCTTATGTTCATGCTGAAAAGGAATAATGAGGTAAGAACTGATTCTGTTGTCTTAATGTTTCCTTCATTTAAGTGCCAATTGAATTTGTCTCTAAAGGTGATAACGTAGGAGAAAATTTATTTCACATGCTGCAGTGCATGCAGACTTTTAAATGCATTAAACTTGATCCATGGTGTCATTTATTTGTTTAACCTTGGATGGTCAGACAGGGAATTCACTGACTGTCATCTGCTTGCCAGCAGGGTGATGAGTGCTCATTATGGGCATTAAGGGTTAATTACTGCTAGGATGTGTAGCACTATATTTATTGTGCATCTGCAGATAGAGGGAGTTTAATTATATGTTGCAGGTGCAGTGAATTGGGGCAATTAGATTTCTGTTCTCTCATTGATACGCATTCATAACTCCCAATTAGCATTAATGGCAGAATAAGAAGCTGTTCTCTTAATACCAGCTATCAAACAACTCTTGCAAATACTGCTGGTTTTGTTGGTTGATTTGGGATAGGCTTTTGTTTTGGTCTAAAAAGTAATTGTAGGGTAGACAGGATTCAGAAAATGTGTAGCTGAGCTAAAAATATGCTTAGGGATGGAGCATCAGCCCAACGTAGTCTGCTTTTGGCACTGTATCAATGCATGGTGTGTTAGTGTCCACCTGTGTTTTCAGAGTCTGTGAGTACACCTGCCAAATCTGTGTGTGTCACATTTATTTTGCTGCCACAGCCCTCATGTATAATGACAGTGGGCGTTGTATGGATGCTGTGGTGTGGAAGGGAGCAAAGAGTACAGGTTCATTTTAAGGCTTCTCCACTTTTTCTCCTTTGTTTCCCTGAAAACTTGAAATGAACTCTTAGTTTTCATCCCAGTTGCGCTCTCTGTTCATGAGCAAGTTGATGCTGCAGGAGACAGTTCGAGGAGACTCCTGCGAGGTCTGTGCTGCTGCACACGTTTCCTTTCCCCTGGCAGCCAGGGAGCTCCAGGAGCTGCAGACAGCTTGATAAGTGACAGCTTGCTGCACTGAGTGCTAGGAAAGTGGGGAAAATAATGCTAGACACCTCTGAGGAGTGTCTAAGGGGAGCAGTGTGACCAGCCTGTGTGGCTGGGGATGATGAGGTTGTTGCAGGTGAAGAGTGAAAAAGGGGGCCCATAAGAAAGAAGGCCCATAAGCCTTTACCCATGGGGTCCTGGGGCGAGAGGAGAGTGCTTTCCTGGTGTCCTGGCATCCAAGTAGGGTCTAATAGCAACGCTTTTGTTTCCTTGCAGCAGGTTCTCCAAAGCATTACCAACCTCCATAAGCTGCTCAGTGCTTTGCAGGTAGGCCACCCATCCATCCCGCTTTGCATGTCGCTTGCCCAAACTGCGCAGCCGCTCACGGCAACTCTCGCTGCAGCCCTCCCTGCTGCCCGTTCACCTTTCCCATCCTCATGAGCATCCCGCTGCCGGCTGCAGAGCAGTGTCCGGGCAGGGCTGTAGGAACAAGCTGCTGCCAAGCCTCCAGCTGACAGAAGAGAGCTAGCCCGAATTGGGGGAGCTGCAGGGGGAGGCTGTGAGACGTAGTCCGTGCCAGAAAACCTGCCATGAGCGTGTCCCCTCAGTGATGATGCGCTGTGTCCCCGAGATCTGCTCGGGGCAGGAGCTGCTTTCTGTAGAGAGGGCTCCAATGATTTCCCCCTCCCTTCCCAGGCCGTGGTGTTGCAGCAGGACACGTTCATCGAGGACCAGAAGCTGGCGCTGAGCGAGCGAGCGCTGACCCGAAGCCTGTCCCGGCCCAACTCCCTGATAGAGCAGGAGAAGCAGCGCAACCTGGAGAAGCAGCGCCAGGAGCTGGCCAACCTGCAGAAGCAGCAGGCGCAGCACCAGGAGGAGAAGCGCAGGAGGGAGAAGGAGTGGGAAGCCCGGGAGAAGGAGCTCACGGAGCAGGAGGCCCACCTGGCCCAGCGAGAGAAGCAGGTGCAGAGAGGGAGTCAGGATCTGGAACGCGAGCGGGAGGAGCTGCAGGTGAAGAAAGCTTCCTACCAGCTCGACTTGGAGAGGCTCCGTACGGCACAGAAACAGCTGGAGAGGGAAAAGGAGCAGCTCAAGAGAGACATGGAGCGATTACCTCAAACGCGGTTGGAGCCTGACCACAACCAGGTAAGTGCTGCCAAGAGCTGGGGAGGCCCTGCCGAGAGCGTGGCGCCGCTCTCGAGGTGCTCGTGGGCTGCCAGGCTCCCGTGATGGGGCAGGCATAGATGGGATTCGGATCTGGATCCAGAAATGCAGGGCGTGGGTTCTAAAACAGGCTTTTTATTGGGTTTATTTTTTGCACATACTGCTCAGTGCTGGGTTTTCTGCACCGTAAGCCTGGGCGCAGGCCCTTGGCGTGACGTTGTGCGCTCAGGCTCTGCCTTGCCCGTGAGCTCCTCTGTGCTCTGCCCGCTTTCCTTGCCATCCGTAGGCAAACGGCAGGCTGCGGAAAGCACATGGGAAAATCCAGGGAGGTGTGTGCTGCACGTCAGGATGGCCCTCACCCCGCAAGGCTTCAGCTCTGCGGCGCAAGTGAGAATTTATTCTCAGAAATGGTGCAAACACCGCTGGTTACTTGCACCCTCCTGTTGTCACAGAAACCACTTGCAAGCTCCTATAAATAAGGGACTGATAACTACAGAGAAGGTCCTTGTTGTTTTTAGTCCATGCTTATGGCAGCTCCAAAAACATTCTCGGTATCTAGCAGAGAGATGGACATTGCCCCTGTCCTAAAGAGTCTGGACATCTGCCACCTCAACATAGCTCAGCAAGCAAAGGTCATTCGCTCTGGTGTAAGAAGCTTCTGGTATCTGGCTTCCCAGGCCAGGAGGAAAAGCCTGTGCACAGATCTAGTTCTGTACTGTGCAAGTACCTTTTTAGCAAGTTGGAGTTTATTTTCTATTACAGTGCAGCAGTCTGGCTGAGGAGAACATGCCTCAGTTTGCATGGGCAGAGATTGAACCTTGAGTCTGTTGTTGATCATTTGTTTGTTTATAACTCACTAATTCTCGATGTAATTTGCTTTGAGCTGTAGCAAAATTAGTTTATAAATGCTGGACTGTGGAGCAGAAATGATTTTGGGTGACTTACCGTGCAGCTCAGCAGTGAACTCTGAGTAGCGAGTCAGAAAGGTACTTGCTCCTACCGGCCCCTGTTACTGTCCAAGCCCGAAACTGTCCCGGTGTAAAAGAAAGCTGCTTCAGCACCAAGCACATACCTGCACATTAGGGGCACAGACACGATGGGAAGGCTGAGAGGTAAAATAGCCTGGTAGGGTAGCTGAAGCGAAGGAAGCAGATACTTTACTGATGTTTCAGAGCTCTTAATAGTGGGTTTGGTGAGGCTCTTATTGAGCTCCTGTTTTGATCTTCCCTTTGAATACATAAAGGCTCAATTACATCCTGAGACAGACGTTAGAAAAAAACAGGAAAATGTTTCACTTTCATCTTGTTCTTGGGAAGGCTGCCTTTGCCACAAGCCCTCGCGAGCGCGTGCGCTGCCTCCCCTTCCAGAGGCAGCAGCTCCGTGGCCTTCTGGCAGCCTCTGCGGTGCGGGGCCGCTGTCGAGCTGTTATGGGCTACCTTGGCTTGTTGATACACAGCATAAGTACATGGAGGAGCAAAAGGCACTGGAGTGTTGTTTTTATGCTTCCTCTTTTTGTCTTAGCGAGGGCTGCTGCTTTCTTATTGCTTTGCCTGGATAGAGGACCATTTTTAAGCAGGTGAATGGGGCTAGATGTTGGGAATAGAAACTCCTCCTGTCAGCCTTCTGGGAAACATCTTCCTATCCAGGTTTCCTCTCTGCCCATTTCATGCTCCAATAAAACACTTCTTTTTCTTTTACAGGTTTCAAATCCACATGACAAGCTTGCAAGAGTCCCCTCCCTGCCCAGCACCGAGGATTCCTCCAAGCAGAAAAGCCCTCCCCTTCCCAAACAGGGGCACTTTGATGCAGAACTGTCTGTGTCACCCAAAAGGAATAGTCTTTCAAGGACACACAAAGAGAAAAGCACTTTCCATTTGCTTAGCACAACAAACCAGACTAACAAGGCGGCTGAAGGGCAGCCCCAGATGCCTACCCGCCTCTTCAGTTTAGCCAAACCAAAGGAGAAAAAAGAAAAGAAGAAAAAGGGCAAAGGGCATCGCTCCCAACCATCTGGTGAGTGTCAGGGTTGATCGTAGATAGTTTACAGGGCCACTGAGCTGGCTTTTCCCTCCAGTCAGCAAATTTGAGGAGGCAATGAAATCTAGCCTTGAGCGGGGATGGTAACTTTGAGGGATGGAGAAAATGAGCTGTGGTGAGTGGAGTTTCCAGCTTAAAGCAATCTTCTCTGTGTCATCCTGTGCGAAAGGAAGCAGAGGGTTATCTGAGGAGCCGTGTCTCTCCTGTGGGCTGTGGCAGGAGCCTGTTCTGCAGCAGTTTTGCAAGGGGAAAATTCCCCGCTTCAATACATCTGCTCCCAGAGCTCTGGTTGGGATGCTCCTGCTTGTCCCCTCCAGCACTGCTGGGGTTTCCCGGGGCGCACGGTCCTTCCCCACTATTCCCATAGTGATTCCTGCCCCGTTTCCCTCGGCAGATTCCCACTCGTCGGAAGCACCGCCGGAGGGTGAGGAGATCTTTTGCTGAGCGCTGCCACC